TGTGGAGACATATCGTTTGACATTGACATCAATGAAGTCGATGTGTTGAATGCGTTGCAATCGATAAACGTGAGCAAAGGAGCTGGTCCAGATGGTATCTCACCGAAACTATTGAAAAACTGCGCACACTCATTGGCAAAACCATTACCAGTACTATTTCGGGAGTCATTGCAGCGGGGATTCGTTCCACAAGCATTGAAAAATTCCAGCATAGTGCCAATATTCAAGTCCGGCAAAAAAAGCATCGCTTCGAACTATAGGCCAATTGTGATCATTCCAACAATCGCAAAAATATTCGAAATTGTAGTTCACCGCAAAATCGACTTATTCGTAAATGGAAAAATCAGTCACAATCAACATGGCTTCGTGAAAAATCGGTCAACCTCAACAAATTTGCTGCAAATGGTAAATTTCATGATGGACTCTACTCAGAGAAATTGAACAGTGTAAACACAAATGTTTGTTGTGTATTTCGCCCATTTACACTGACGTTTCACACACAGTGTGAAAAAAAATTAAAATAAAAATGTAAATTTTTTTTAGAGCAAAATATCACCATAAATCACATCAATTTCAAATCAAATAATATTTTAAATCTTTCATTGAATATTTAACAATAAAATAAAAATATGAAAAAAAAATTATCATTTGAAAAAAATATTTTTTTTTACGAAAAATCAATGACGATTTGCACTGACGTTGTAAAATATCGAATTCACATCATTTTTGTTGTAGTGTGGTCAATTCGACGTTTCACATTGTGTGTGAAACGTCTGTGTAAATGGGAGAAATACACAACAAACATTTGTGTTTACACTGTTCAATTTCTCTGAGTATGATCGAAAAATGTCAAACGGATGTACTGTACACCGATTTCGAGAAGGCCTTCGATCGTGTCAATCACTTGAGATTGCTTCAGAAATTGGTGAGATTTGGATTCGGCCGACAAATTATCAAATGGTTCCATGGTTATTTGACATCACGAACGCAGTTTGTCGGAATAGGCGAAAGAAAGTCACGGACTTTCACTGTACCATCAGGAGTACCTGCGGGAAGTATGTTGGGACCATGTCTATTTATTGTTTTTATTAACGATATTGTCGAAACAGTATCAAATGTACTTGTTTTATTATTTGCAGATGATTTAAAATTGATTCGTACCGTAAAATCGCCCATTGATGCCATCATTTTCCAAAATGCGATAAATCAATTGAGTGACTGGTGTACCGAAAACAGCCTGCATTTGAATCTGAAGAAATGTTTTGTGATGACGTATGCTAAAGGTGGGAACATCGTCAACTACGATTATACGATTGACAACGGTCAACATACGTTTGAAAGGATCAGCATACACAAGGATCTAGGCGTTATTTTTGACACCAAACTAACGTTTTTCAACCACACCCATGCAGTTACAGCAAGTGCACACGCGGAAATTTCATAAAACGCACACTGAAAAATAAATTCACTATCGAATCTGCGAAAATGTTATACTGTGCATTAGTCAGGTCAAAGTTAGAGTACGCGAGTATTGTATGGCAACCGTACCACCTACATACACTCCGATAGAATAGAATCAATTCAAAAAGGATTTGTGATTTGGGCATTAAGGTTTGTTTACCAGAGAGACGAAAACTTTGTATTACTACCGTATCATTTTAGATGTGATGTTTTGAAAATTCAACTGCTTTGGAGAAGGCGTATAAATACCTCTATATTTTTAATTTATGACCTCCTTTTGGGTAGAATAGTGTCTAGTTCGCTTCGAAATAAAATTGTATACACACGACAGCAATATAACGTAAACCAAAGATATTTAAGAAATACAGAACTAATTAGAATGTTCACTTCGGACTATGCACACAATCAGCCATTTTATGTAGCTTGTAGGAATTTCAATTTAATACGTGAAACATTTTTAGAATCGGCATCGAGGCAAATTTTTAGAAATAATATTGTTAAGTTGGAGAATGTGATATTTGTTAATCGGTAAAAGGTTTAACTTATTAATTGTATTGAAACACTAGAAATTAAAACAATGAACACAATCGATGTCTGCTACTCCGAAGTCGAAAAGGCTGGTGGCTGGATATTCGATCGGGTAGTGATTCATTGTGAATGCTATTGTACAAAATGTTATGATAAATTCAGTCTGTGATCAGGAATAAATAAATAAATTAATTAATTTCTGATTTGGGCGATCGAAATGTGTGCCATTTTTTAGTTTCACTGGCAACCGCACCATGGCGCTACTGTCAACGTTGCTTGTCATCGTCGCGCTTTGGCTAATCTTATCGTTAGCTAATTTTGTATGGAATAAGAAATATATAATAATAAGAAATATATCTAATTTGTACAAGGTAAATGGAGAATACATCACCGCATGCGATCATGACGATACAGTCAATATTTTACGAAATGCAGGTAGTATATGCTGCTTCAAAAAGTGTACGTTTCTATATTAATTTTTGTTTTTTCATTCATGAACAGGAGATATTGTTGTACTTACAGTGAAACATTATAAAGCTGCTACACCCTTCCTACAAAAACAATGTAATTTTAAATTATTTTTCATGAGAGAAACAATTGAAACATTTTATTCAACTGAAGAATCCATATCAATATGACAACAATACGAACATAGTATTGACGTTCGCATTGTACAAATTATGTTGATGAGGTCGACGAAGATTCGCAGAAAACGCAATTGAAAAAATAACAACAATTATAGCAAAAAATACAAGATATTTTTTTTCAATTTAATGCATTTGACGATTTCATGCGAGTACAAATGAATGTCCGAGAATGAAAGTGAGTCTTCTCCTGAGAACATAGAAATGTGTAACAAATCTTAAAGATTTCATTGAATTGTAGTACCAACGCAAATTTTATTGAAATGAAACACGGCGTGTTACACTTCAATAAATTTTGTTTTGTTATTACATTTTGAAAAATTGCTTGCCGTGTGTTTCAATTTAAAATGCTTTTTTATGATGTTACGAATGAAAAAAATTGATTTTGATGTTACGAATAGAAAAAATTGGTTTTGATGTTACGAGTTTAAAAAAAAAATACTAATTTTTACGCTTTTTATGAGATCGATCAGAAAAGTCGTGAAAAAATCTTCAACATGAATTGGAATGTAAACTGCACTGCCGTAGGTCCGTATATATTTGACGTGTGTCATTTCAGCGGTCTTCCGTGTTTTTCATACAAGCCTCCCATGTAGATGGTGAAAAATCGCGAAAAATGAAAAAAATAATTAAATTTTTTTTCTTCAATTCTCAAATACTACTCAACTTTCTGTATCACTTGGTGAAATCAGAATGAAAAAAATCGCATTCCATATCATCTAAATCACGATCTGGACTTTTTTCACTGTTTGAGTGCTGTATACCGAGTCTCCGGGAGTTTCATACAAGCTTGCTATGTGATGCCCATTGAATAATCTTATATGTTGACATTTGATTTACATTCTTAAATTAGTCTTTTTTTTAACTCGTAACATCAAAACCAATTTTTTCTATTCGTAACATCAAAATCAATTTTTTTTATTCGTAACATCGTAAAAAAGCATTTTAAATTGAAACACACGGCAAGAAATTTTTCAAAATGTAATACCAAAACAAAATTTATTGAAGTGTAACACGCCGTGTTTCATTTCAATAAAATTTGCGTTGGTACTACAATTCAATGAAATCTTTAAGATTTGTTACACATTTCTATGTTCTCAGGAGAAGACTCACTTTCATTCTCGGACATTCAAATATCTTCCTCCTTTGGTTGTCATTCTTTCCACGATCTAAAGAAATAAGACCCCATCAATTTAACCAGTAAAATTTCTTCCATTTCTTCTTCATTTTTACAACACTTTTTTAAGTATGTCGGGATACTCCTGATTCTGACAATGATGCCATGTGTGCAGAGTTAAAAAAAGATGAAGGCTGGAAAAAATCTGTGAATAATAACAGGCCTGTTTCAATTGTATCAGAAACTGAACGAAATGATAAGAAGTGGATTGATATTATTTCAGGTAAGGCGGTAATCTGTATGCGCGTGTGTGAATGATATCACAATTCAAATTATTATTAATTTGTTATACAATCTATTAATGCTAAATTATACAGAGAACTTTTTAAATTTTTTTGAGCGCCCCTATAAAGTTGTTGTAGTAAAAGCAAATGTTTTCTTTACCATCTACATTTCTTACTAACACAATATTGAATTACATTTAGTTAAGCCTGCCAGATCGCCCGGATAAATTCGGGTTCGCCGGGATTTTCGAGGCCAAACCCGATCGAAAAATCTTCCGGCGCGGATGCCCTTTGATTTCAAAGTTTTTCTGTGGCCAATATTTTTCTTTTGGTTGAAAAAAATTATTTTGAAGGGATTCGCCCGGATTTTTCACAGTAATGAAATCCCTACTAAAGAGCTAGATGGTGGCGACAGTGGTAATGGGATTTTTAAATTTATTTGAACGACGCCATTTTTCTATACTTGTCCATTATGATGTACATGTAACAGAAGAAACACACAATCCATGTCCACGCTAGTGGACATAAATGGTTTGAAGAATATTTGCAACCGTCAATGTGAACTAGATCGAATTTGCTAACATACGATAAAAATGACTTAGAAAGTGTGTTTCAAAATAATATCACTGATGTCGACTGTCGACACCATTTTGAGTCGACACCAATTTGAGTGTTATTTTCTCACTTTAAGATCTTTCCAATGATTTGTATATGTACGTGTGTGTTAATTAGTGGCGCCAAAGTAACTGAATAAAAAACAATCTATTTGAAAATTAATAAAATTCATGTTTTGAACCACAGCTGTCTGTTTTGAATGTAAAAATGTATATCAAGTTTTTATTCACAGTAAACAGAAAAATTATCTACCAAATTTTGGTTTCGTTACTCATTCTTACCTTAAAGCTATTATCATTCGAACCATGAGTAAAACCAACTTCAAAAATACCACTTCCTCCTAATTTTGGGTCAAGAGATCCAAATTTGGCAATAAGATCTTTCAAATTCAACTTTCTAACACACTTTTTAATAGGAAGATCAAGACTTATCAAGTTGTTAGCAGAGATTTGACACATCAACATTCACTGTTAAAATTTTATTGGAATCGGCTACCGTTTTGGAGTTTCGGTAATTGAAAAAAATAGAAACAAGTCCAATTTTATTTTGCTTAAAACGCTACAGCGAACGATCGTTGACAGCTATGGTTAAAACTAATGAGGCTTAACTAATTAATTATAATTATATCAGCTATCAAAATTATCAATTTCCCAGAGAGTTATAATAACACGAATCGCATATGCTTCTGTGCAGCTCAAAATTTCAAATTGTGAAAATTGTGTATGATTTAAGTGGAGTCGACAGTTCGAATATATGACTCCCAAGATCTATGGGTGAGATCTAAAAGAACGTATGTATTTTTTTCGCCTTAAATTTTGGAAAAGGAATGTATGTGTTTGGCCAATTCTGTCTTACTGAAAGGGAAGTATGTTTTATACCGAAAAATTTTTGTAAAAGGAAAGTATGTTTTTCGGCTGAATGCCGAATGTTGATAAAGGAATGCATGTTTCGTACTAAATAAATTTTGCAAAAGGATAGTAAGTGATTCTGAATCAGTTGTTAAAAAAGGGATGCATGTTATAACGTATTTTTCTGGAATTGGG